AAATAATCATGCGTTTTTGTCCATCTGAGGTTGGGTTTACTCATTTATCAGCTGTGTTTATTTGGTTTGAGGTAAATAAGACTGAAGTAGTGGGTAAAATCCCCCAAAACAATTAAAAACTAACTTTTTTTCTTCATATTTAAGTATGACGGCTACACCTCCTGTCCGCTGGTCACGAGCTACAACACAGTCGTCCTGGCAGAGTTCGACTATGACGGACAGCCGCTGGAAACGTTCCCAATCAATCAAGCCAAAGAGCGACGATTAATGTACTACATGAAGGCCGACGTGATGCCTCACCTCTACTGGCACGGCCTTCTCCGGTATGATCACGTTCCATAAAATGCTTTATAATTCATTTATTGCATGAGCTGCTACATTTTTATTGCTGTTTCCAGGGGCCTGTGGGGCGGACCTGGACCATACAGGAAGCTCCTGCATCTTGGGATGAAATGAAACTGAATGTTTCCTACAACTATACATCATGTCATAAACTCCTGATCTTCATCATAAAACAGCAGATTCATCTCAGCTGCCTAAAGAGAGGGGCGGGGCTTAATTACAATGGAAATGAATGATTATAACACGAGTAACTCCTTTTCATTTAGTTTCTACATGAAGCTGTTGCTCAGAACTCCATCAGGTAAAGTGAAACTCCTCCTGAATCAGTGTCATAAAGATGGGTCCACAATCCAGATTAATCCAGCAGATTAAGAGGGTCACAACTGGTGCACAACGTTGAGTACACCTTTGTTTTTTCTTAAAATCATATTAATCAGTAATTGGAAAATACGATAGCGATGCCGTAGACTCTGTGGTTGTCTCTAAAAACTACATGTTTGTTTTCTACAATAGAAAAACAGGAGTGCTGGAAGAAAATAGCAGTTGTTTCAGCGCCGTCGGATTATGTTTGTTTTGTCTCGTTCATTATAAACGACAAGGAATCCAATTTATCATTTCACTTTTAAAAGAAAAGGCTCGACCGTATAGATGAAACCTCAGTGCTTTATCTGACTTTTTATATATCAGTGTTGGAGTTTGTTTTGCTGTTTTTTAAATGTTATATTGGACAGGTGTCAAAGCATAAATCATAACTATCATGGGTGTATTGATACTAAAATAAATTTAAATCTTAAAAACACGTCTTTGTTTTGTGTTTAACCATAAAAGCGTGGAAACAAACTGCTTTTTGTTAATTAGGGTTTTACTCTTTAATTTTCCATTAAGATACAACTGCAACTTGCATGTATCTCACGTGTTAAGATATATTGAATACATGTCGGTGTTTATTAATGAACACCTCCCTTTACTGCTGCATTATCGTTATCTCTATGCTGCAGAAATGCTTCTTTTTTTTTTTTTTTTGGCTCAGCGTAAATAAAGGTTGTGATCCAGGGTTGGGAATTCAGGTGGGTTTTTGTGTTGTCACTAATAGAATTTCACTTTGGTTACAGCATGCAGACATAAATATACAAACAGCTGCATGTTGTAGTTTATTTATATATATAGTAAAAGAATTGTGATTTTGATTTCTCAATTATTGATGAAAGTAACATTTTGTAGCAGTTTTCACATTTATGCAGACGATAGATCTACGTCCCACTGAGGCAAAACTGAATCTTTTGAAATGTTTAGATAATGTAAAAGCACGAATTTTAATGAGAAAAGGAGAATTTATGTTTTTTTTTTTTTTCTAGGCACTTCAGAGAGCCTACTTTTAACCTGGGTTATCTGGATCACTTTGTGAAGACGGTGGCCCTGAATTTCCATTTTAAAATGGACCGCCATCTTAACTTTGACGGCAAATTAGGCCTCTTTCAGCTGCGGCAGGTGAACAAAATAAAGTTGGCTGGGTTACTGTAATGAACTTTATTTGGGTGTAAGTGGATCTTTAATTTCCCGGTTCAAATTGCTGTTGCATGACTCCATAGTTTTAAGTTCACTTCACTGGCCAGTGGTTAATTTTAGAATTAATTTTAAACGTATTTTGTTTAAGTCTTTGATTTGCCTTGCCCCTTCATATATAGCTGATCTCCTGCCTACTTATGTACCGCTTCGTTCCCTTAGGCCAGCTGATCAGTTACTGCTGTCAGTACCTAGAACGAGGCGTAAACTCAGGGGACTCACATGGGCATTCTCTGTAGCCCCGCTCCCAAACTCTGGACAGGTTTGCCATTGTAGGTGTCCTCTTTGACCATTTAAAAATCTTTTTTTTTAAAGTCTCATCTTTTTGCTCTGGGGTTTAACCCTCAGGAGGATGTTGTCGTTGGTTGATTTTATGTTTTCTATTTTTTTCATTTTATATTTCTTCTTAATCTCATTGCATTTTATGGGGTTTTTATTTATGCTTTTATGCAGCAATTTATTGGGCACTCAGTGAAATACTTTGAAAATCAAAAATTCAAGCCAAGAGTGTTATTGGAATCCAGGACAAGAGCTTATTACCTTTGTAACATTTAAAAAAATATGGATATTTTGATGGGAAAAATGAATGTCAATGTAATAACAAAAAACCCCAACTTGCCTGAATATATTAAGAAAAAATAACATAAGTGCCTCTATAAGAAATTAATGAAAAACACTCAGAGTGAAAGAACTTTTTTTTTTGGTCCAAATAACCTTAGAGGCATTAATGCTGATACTGGCACTTACTTTTTTTGTTTTTGTTTATAACCCTAAATATAATTGTTAACTAGGCTTTTTAACTTTACTTTTTCACTTTTCAATTAGCGTTTTACCTTTTTTCTTTCGACTTAATTTCCAGTAGGTAATCTATCATTAAAGGGCTAATCTAATTGGTCAAATGCCAAAATAAGATGTACAGCCATGTAGCAGGATCTTTGCTGAATGGATGGATATAGATATTGTGCTTCTAGACCTCACTGGGGGGGCTCCATTTGTAAGGGTGATCAAAAACGCTAACTTTCCCTATAAAGTATTAAAGTGCTATAAAGATAAAGTTGGATTTGGATTGTAAAATAACACGGGCTCTAAAATCAAGGATTGATTATTTTGAAAGTGAGCTGAAGTGTGACTATCTCCTCCTGTCTGTTTATAAAATGATAAAGCGGCTTGCCATACCGCATCATCAGTTCCTCTCTGTCGCATTCCCCTGCGCTCCGCCAGCGTTCTGTTTGTGCTGAGGCGGGAAATGGCGTCCGAAGACACGGCTGTTCTGCGACTTTAGCCACTGAGAGACGGACACAGCTGGCGGAAACAAGCACGGCTCGACCTCCAAACGGCGGCCGCCACGGTCGACACTGACAACGCCCTGTCGGATTTTTTTTTTTACGAGCATCCGAAGTGATCGGTAAGAAAGAGCCGCCATATAAACAACAGATATCTGCCCCCCTGTGAAAGTCCAACTGCTGCTAGCTAGCGGCTAACGTTAGTCAGCGAAGGGGGCGTAGTCTAATGGCTGAACATAGTTATGGAGCGAACAAAACGACATGTTCTTTAAGGTTGTAAAACACATGAATGAACGGCTAGTTTAAATATAGATATAATATATTATTAGAAGAAATGATGGTTGATGTGTGCTGTGCGAAAACTAACGTTACGGAACCGCTTGTTCTGCCTTTGGGGTCTCGTTAGCCTCGAAGCTAACTGTAGCTTGTTAGTCACTGAGCCCACTGACAGCATTTGCTTTAACGGTATTTAAACTGAGAGGTTAAACCCATAAATGTGATTTGAAACCAAATTGACTCAACGCTGTGCGATGGATCATAAAGCAGCAGCAACAGCGTCATTCTGTTCGGTGTCAGAGAGCCCGGTCTGGGCTAAAGCGGTTTGTTACGTAACGACAGACAGCGGAGCTGCTGGCTGTCAGACACTATTTAGCAACAAAGCGCGACTCCTGAAACAACCCTAAAGATTATAACTAATTACAACAAAGTTGTAGTTTTTCAAATATATGGTAGTCCAACCTAACGTTTTTTTTTTTTTACTGACAGCAGGTTAAGCGTTTAAATAGACTCTTAA